GGCTGAGGAGGGAGAAGGTACATGCGCCGTGCGGGCGACAGGCCACGCGGGTGGCCTGTGTGTCGCTGTGGGGAGCGGGCAGAGGGTCACGGGGCTGGTGGGGCCCTCCATGTGCAGCCCCCGAGTCCCCTCTGGGGCGTTGAGGGCGCCCTGAGTTAGAAACACAGGTGATACCAGTCCATCCACAGCTCCCTTCTTGGGGGCGGGGCCTCGGCATCTGTGTCATCTCTCATTTGTTCTTGCTTAATGTTAGGACGTAGACTTTTGGAAGGCATCTTGTGGGGTTGAAATGCCCAGTTTTTTTTTTTTATTATTTGAAGTATAGCTAATGTACACTGTTGTGTTAGTTTTAGGTGTGCAGCAAAATAATTCAGTCGTACCTACGTGTATATGTTGTTTTTCAGATTCTTTTCCCTTATAGGTTATTATAAAACATTGAGTAGAGTTCCCTGTATTATAGAGAAGGTCTTTGTTAATTACTTTATATATAGTAGTGTGTACCTGTTAATCCTATACTCCTAATTTATCCCTCCCTGCTTTTCCCCTTTGGTAAGCATAAGTTTGTTTTTTTTGTCTGTGAGTCTATTTCTCTTGTGAATAAGGTCATTTGCATCATCTTTTTAGATTCCACATATAAGTGATCTCATATGGTATTTGTCTTTCTCTGTCTGACTTCACTTAGTATGATTATCTCTAGGTCCCTCCATGTTGCTGCAAATGGCATTGTTTCATTCTTTTTCATGGCTGCGTGATATTCCAGTGTGTCTGTGTGTGTGTGTGTGTGTGTGTGTGTGTTTGCGTGCACACACACACACACACACACACACTTCTATATCCATTCCTCTGTTGATGGACACCAAGGTGGCTTCCCAGTGCTCATTTTTAAAGCTCAGAAGTCAGGAGGTGGTTAGTTTGCATGGTGCACATGATGGGAGAGGGGCCTGAGCGGATGGGGCCCATGTGGTCCTGGCTGCCCCTTGGCCCCTGTGAGACCCGTCCCTGTAAGACGGGAGGCCTGCTGGGCAGGAACGTTTCCTCTTTCCTGCTGTGACTTTCTTTAAGCAGAGGCTGCAGAAACATCACGTACAAGGCGTCTCTCAGGTCCCAACCACACCGGATTGTGGTGACTGATGGGGACGTGGGAGCCAAGGTTTAGAGCCCCTTTTACATGTCAGCGCACTTGAACTTGAAAGTGGACTGTGTTCTAGGCAGTGGGACCCCAGCCCTTGTGCTCAGCCCCCGCGTCTGGCCGTCAGGCCCTCGGCCCCCAGTGAAAAGTATGTGGCGTGTCCTGAGACGCATCCGGCAGAGCTGGGAAAGCGACCTCCCGCAGCCACGTGCAGGGCACGCTGATGCATCTCCTCTTCTCTTCTTTAAACATTAAGATGCTAGTCATTGTGAGTGACCTTGTGGCCCACTAGTGCGTGCCGCTAGGGCTGCGCCTCCAGGGAAGGCTTGCTGTTGGTTGCTTCTCTCTCGCTTTTTTAAAATGTTCATTAAAGAAAAAACATCCCAGTTCCTTTTTCTGGACATGTTGGGAAGACTCCCACATGTTTTGTGCCAGGCCACATCTTGAGGGTTGCTGCGTAAACACGGCGCCCGCCTAGACGGAAGGACCACAGTGTGTGGCCCACGGGAGGTTCTGGGGGTGTCTGCGGTCGGAGGGCCCCACCCGAGGCACAGTGTACGGGATCCCCCGGAGCTGCTGCGCCCGCCACTCCCTCACCCTTCACATCACAGCCGCACGGCGCCCCTGGGCAAGTGTTGGGAGGGTGTGTGGACAGGTTCCCTACCTCAGTGCAGACTGACCCTCGAGGAGGAGGCGTGGCCTCCAGGGTGTGCCGGACCCGCAGGCACAGAACGCCGCCGGGACATCCTGCAGGCCCCCATCCCTATTTCCTCTCCTCATCAGGCAGATGGGCCTGGACTCGGGTCAAGCCTTCCGGAGCCAAGCCCACCCCAAGGTCCGGCTTCTCGGTGGCTGTGGCCCCGAACCATCAGACGCTGCTGTTTGGGGGGGTGTGTGACGACGAGGAGGAGGAGGGCCTGGAGGGCCACTTCCTCAGCGACCTGCACTTCTACGACCCCGTCAGGAGCCGCTGGCTCGCGGGGCAGCTGAAGGTAGCCTGGGCCCCAGGCCTGCAGCCAGCGCAGGGCCTGCCCGGCCGTCACCCCCGTCAGTGATGCCCAGGGCCTCCCCGGTCCCTCTGTCTGTGAGGCTCTGTGGAGCTGCCACCATCTTTACTGTCACCGTAAGCAGGGACCGGGTCGCCTCTGCCCCTGCTGCTGGCACCAGCCTGAGAGACGCGGCACAGTGGCTGCTCTCCCGGGAATGACGTCCCTGGGGGCTTCATCAGGTCAGGGGCCTCAGAAGCAGGACCCTGTGGCCAAAGGAGGGCGGGTGGTCCACTGTGTGGCAAAGGCTGGCTCCGGTTGAAGTGCCTTGGCGCCTCTGAGGGGAGTCGGGCAGCGTGTGAGGGCTGACATCTGCCGCCTGTTCCCCTCAGAGGTCACACCAGGCAGGGGCGGTGTGCTCCCCGGGGCGGGGGGGCGCAGCAAGTGGACGGGGGTCCTCTGGCTGTCGGGTGCTCGCTGACCCCCGTCCTGCGTCGCGGTGCCTTTGCTCTTCATCAACAGGGGCCCAAGGTGAAGAGGAGGCGCAGGCGGGGCAAAAAAGGGGAGCCCGGGGGCGCCAGCAAGGAGGAACTGAAGGGGGCCGGGGCCCAGGAGCCCCTGCAGGTGGTCAGAGAGCTGGTGGCAGAGGACGGGACCATGGTCACCATCCAGCAGGGGCTCGCTGCCCTGGGCCCGCTGGGACAGCCCGAGTCCGACGACAGCGACGATGGCCCCAACGAGGCGGGGGTCCCTGCGGTGGAGCCCAGCCCCCGCTCCAGCGCCATGCTGGCCGTGAAGCATGGGCGCCTCTACCTCTATGGGGGCATGTTTGAGGCTGGCGACCGGCAGGTCACCCTCAGCGACTTGTACTGCCTCGACCTTCACAAGATGGAGGAGTGGACGGTCTTGGTGGAGATGGATCCAGGTGAGGGGGGTAGCACCTCTGGAGTTGCCTCGGGAGCCCCCCAACTTGTCCGCCCTGTGCCCGCAGAGAGTGCTGCACGCCTCTGCCCCCTCCTGCCCCCGTGCCCTCAGTCCAGGGGGGAGGGCCCTGTTGCCCAGGGGCATGTCCGTGCATGGCCGTCCCTGCAGGGGGCCTGGGGGAGGGAGCGGGCTCACCCCGACACCGCTCGTGGGCCTCGGACCTGCCCCGGCAAAGCGGACTGGACGCGTGTTTTCCCCACGGTGCGCATGTGTGCCCGGGAGCAGACTAGCGGCCCACCCGTCTCCGCTGCCGTGTTGCACCACAGGCTGCGCTGGACTCGGTCACTGCTCAGTCCTTGGGTCTGAGGCTGAAATCCCTTAAAATCCACACGTCTGGGCAGAGGCCCTGAGCGGCTGTGCGAGACGACTGCTGTCTTGGAGCGCAGTTTCTCACTCTGCCTGTCTCTGCCTCGACACGTGGGGATGTGATGTTTGCCGTGAGCTCCAGACGTGCTGGGGTCAGGGCTCCCGCACTCACATCCGTGTGTCCAGGCAGAAAGTGGGCTCCTGGGGGCGGCTGCGGCTGGCCTGCAGTTTCCCTGGTGCCCTGGCCGTGTTGACACTCTGTGGTTTTTGCTTTTGCTTAAAGAATCTCAGGAGTGGCTGGAGGAGACGGACTCGGAGGAGGACAGCGACGAGGTCAAGGGCGCCGAGGGCGGCGGGGAGAGTGACGAGGACGAGGACAGCGGCGAGGAGGCCAGGGGTGAGTGAGCCACCGGGGCCGCGCGGCCACAGCCGGTGCTGAGGAGGGGCCCCAGGGCTCACCGCTCAGGTCACTTCTCTGCCGGAGCCCTCATTTTTATCGGTGACGAGGGAACGTACAATTTTACCAAGTTTCTGTTAAAGTTTGACTTTGCTGTGTAGGTGTGCTCCTGAGGCCAGCTGAAGTGTTTTTTCTAATTGTGTCTGGAGTACGTTTGAGCACTCGCTGTTTAAGCAGGGTCGTAACGGCCTCCTGACATCCTCCGTGTAAATCTGGGTGCTCACAGCACGTTCGCTCCTTCAGGACTCAGGCCTCCTTCCACGACTGAACCCATTTCTTTCTTATCCCCCTTGCCCCACGGAAGAGCAACGTCCCTCGGCGGCGCCCGGTGAGCCATTCGCAGACTCCCTGCCCAGGACCGAGCAGTAGTGGGCGAAGCTGGCGCGGACGACGCCGGGCCCCGGAGAGGAGGCTGCTGAGAGCCGCCCGGGCCGTGGCCGCCGCTTTCTCGGCCTCAGCCGCACACCAGCCAGAGCTTAGACTGAGGGGGTGCGGTTCCCTGCCCTCAGCGTGCTGCGTGCGGTTTAAAATAAACTGGACTTGGCAGGGGGCTGCTGCCGCGAAGGTGGTCTTTTGTGCAGCCTCCGGGCCCCGGTGGTTCTGGCTGGGTTGGGGCCGAGCTGATGGTGAGGGGGACCTTGATCATGAAGTGGAATGCTGCGGGCTTTGCAGGGTTCCCCCCTGCAAAACTAGGAGACGGGTTCTGCCTGCCTGCACGTTCAGCCGACTCTTTCCTTTTTAAAAAGTATCGGTAGCCGCCCACTGCCTCCTGTACGCGTTTTCTCGGTTCTCTGGAGAATAAAGCGCCTGTTGTGGGCTGGTCTGCTCTCTCTGCCACGTGGCTTTGCCTGGGGTCTCTTGGAGTGCCGTGTGCCCAGCTCCTCTGGCCGCTCCCCACCTTTGGGGAGGAGGTGGTGGAGCTGTGCTCTGCCCTCTCCCCTTCGGGCTCAAGGTCGTCATTCGAACAGCAGCAGAAGAGGACAGGAAACCGGAGGGCGGGCCCCACTGTCCCCACACGGCCTCGCTGTCCCCTGCCAGGCACGCTCACTGGTGCCTACTCCAGGGTTAATGGCAGGAGGCTGCTTTTCATTTATGTAATTGGGGCAGAGCTTGGGCTTTGAATTCACACCAGGTGAATTCATCTTCATCTAAAGTATCATCAGTAACAAGAAAGCAGGGTTCTTAGTTTTCAGTGACAGGCCGAGCAGCCCATCGTTACCTTGAACGGGCCATCCTGCTCGTGACCTGGAAGTTAAAAGTGGAGAGTGGGCGCACCCACCCAGCAGAGCGGGCCCGGGCCCGGGCCCGGGCAGGCTTCTGTGGAAGGTTGAGGCCCGCTTGCCCAGAAGCAGCCCCTCACCCCAAGCAGCACTTATCTTCTCGCCGTGCTCGGCCCCCGCACCTCTGGCCGTGTGACCTCACTCGTCAGACTTCTCCCGCTTGACTGCACGCGGATCAGAATTAGGAAGCTCTCTCCTTGCCTCTGCCCACCAGAGCCTCCCTCTGGTACGGGGCCTGGCAGAGCCCATGGGGGTCCCGGTCACAGGGCTTGGGCAGGCTCTCCACCTTCAGCATCTTACTTGCGGCTCCCCGTGGGTGCTGGGGCAGGCGGGCAGGGCTCAAAGCCAGGCTGGATGCCACGGCAGGCCCGCGGGGGCCACAGAGGCCCTCCCGGTACCTGCCTTGCGTGCTCGTGGTGCGAGGCCCAGGCGTACAGCTCCTGCTCTCTTGGCTGCTGCCTTGGGAGGAGGTGGCTGGGAGAGCGTCAGCCCCAATGCAGGCTTCTGTTCCTGGGGCCGTTGTTATTACAGAGGAGCCTGCAAGCAGGTGAGACTCCAAGAAAGGTAGTTTGGAATCACAGAAGTTGAAAAAGAAATGAAAACCCCCGGAAGAAACTTGTTTTGCTCTTTGCTCTGCTGTCCTGTCCACGGGGTTATTGCTGAGGACGCCGTTTGAGTGACAGAGGAAGAAAAGCACAAGCTCCACACAAGGAGCTGCCTCTGCTGTGTCACCCCCGTGATTAAAGCGTCCCTTCAGTGGGACAGTTGCAGGGACAGGTGGGTGTACGGTGCAGGACTGCGGGGTCCCCAGGGAGGGCAGCGGCCAGCGCACCGTTCCCCCTTCTGCCTGCCGGCAGCTGG